TGCGCGCAATTCAGAGACAAGCTCGATGCAAACACGAAACAAGCAATGACCGAAACGCATCCGAGCAGGCGCCCTGGATACATTCAGTGCATGCCCCAGTCACCGCAACTGCCGAGCCTTCTTGGCATCGTAAGACCGCACGACTCCCGTCTGGACAACAAGCCTTGGGCGCAAGCAAAAGGCGCGCAAAGACCATTGCAGCAAACCAAATAGCAGATTGCGAAACCATCAAACTGCCGACTCGTTGTTCCCAACATGTTCGTATGTTGACGTGATACAAGGATAGGCCTCCTTGCAGGGTTCCGCTTTGTTAATGAGGCTGAGACAGACCTAAGCTAATCGACAGTACATTTCCACAGAAGCGGACATCCGGGGCTTGAGTCAACCTTGAGCACTGCCTCGTGCAACACAAGTGGCAACAAAACCACTGGTTCTCAACCAGTTCAAGGGCGGCCCCGGGTCGCTTGATATGGGCATGTGTCAAGCTGAGTTGTCCTCTGGCGGTAAGCTGGACCAATAGGTTTTGACACATATGAATATGGAAATTTATTCAGCAACATGTAGAGCTTCTTTCACAAACGGTTGCAGGCACTTTCTTGCTGGCACTTCCTTGCTGGTCATGCAGTGCCCTGGGACCATGTGTACTCTTGGCTTCTCTTCGGGTATGCTAAGAGGCAATCTCCGTTCTGCTCGATATCCTTTCAAGTAATTCCATCGGATGAAGGTTGTAAACAACCGTGTCCAGACATCTGATACGCAACTGAAAAGTGCACTGTTGAAATACTGGTCGCAAAGAAATGTGCTGAACATGATAAGCATGACAATAATGACAACAAGAGTTATAATGGCGAAGATTAACGCCGATATATATATATATATATCATTTCCGTGCTTGAGGACATTTATTGAGGACGTCACAACAAAGGCGGTTCTGGCAGTAGCAAATTTCAGCCTGGGGCACCTGCCGCGGTTCTGGCTCGCCTGCAAAGGCGCGCTCTCCATGTCGCATGCGGCTCAGGTTGCGGGAGCCCCACTTTCCCCGCCAAAGGAACCAGCCCTGGCAAATCGGAAGGCAAACCTGAAATTTGTGTCCCCAAAATGAATTCCCACGCTGAAAAGAAAAAGGGGGAGAAAGTACAACCCGTTTCGGGGTCCGCCGCTCTGCAAACGCGAAAGTGGTCACTCGCCCTACGAACATCGAGGCTAGGAAAGCCTCCTGAGATGACAAGTGCTGATCGTGCACTTTTCTCGGTTGCCAAGTGGCCGTGGAGGAAAACGTGCTTTGCTTGATCGAAATGTCAAAGGAATCCAAAGCGCAAATGACTTGAGTACGCCACGAGTAAATACGCACCACCGCTGGACAGCTGCAGCGTCAAAAGATCAGCTCAAGGCTGATGTTCTTGTGAGGAATCGGGTGATCCATGGCCAAAAACTAAGAATTTATATATATATATATACGTATATGTATATATGTGTATATTATATAAACTCGCCAAACCAGGGTCCATGGTGGTACGATGTATATATATATTCTATATATATATGTCTATATATAATATATATATATATATATATATCCCACTCGCCCAGCAAACGAGTTCCGCCAAACACACCAAACAATACGACAACGGCCCACAAGGGTACAGCAACAAGGGCCCCAGTGCCTCGTCGCTGGCCGTTTGTCGAATTTGGCTTTGGCATCCAAAACACTTTGCTTTGGGGTTGACAAACATGAGCCAATGGACGGGCTCATTTTGTGAGCACCTTCTATTGGAAGACCCAGATATCTGGAAATACAACACTAACATTTGGAGAGGCGCTGACTTCAAATGGACTTTGCTTCAGCAGCGGTCCCAATCCGTACCATCAACTTTCGCCTTCTCTGCCCCTTCCGAAGCTTTGCAGCTGCGAATCCGGTCCCGGTGTTTCTTCAGATTTTGATGGACATGAAGTTTGCCCCAATCCAAATGATCTGCCCCGCAAAACCCAAACATGCTGACATCCGTCAACTCTAGGTGGACAGAATTCCAACCTCGGACTTCACGCACCCGTGGAAAGACATGCTGGAAATACTTTGTCAATCTTTGTCATATTGGCATCATAGAACGCCCCCGCCCCCGCCGCGACACAATCTGACACAAGCATAACCCTCGCAGAAAACAAGCAAAACGGTGAAGCTTGATCTGAGGGTGCCCGAAAGAACCATGGAGTGAGCTTGAAGCCGAGCACTAGTTTTGCTGAGACTTCGACGCTTCCCGCCTCGAAAGGGAGGCGGCCGCCCTGCGCAGGGCGAATTCCCGGGCTCATGAAGTCCCTAGGTCCCTTAGGTGCAGCTTCGCGAATCCTATCACAGCTCTTTTCCCAGAGAAGCCGTCTTATCACGGAACCCGACGAAAGTCTCTTAAGGACAATATCCGAGGGGGATAACCTCAGGTTCCGTGGGGGACCAGGGCTCGTGGCATTCCTGTCTATGTTTTCACAGCGTGTTTTGCTGAGGCGCGCCTTTGCGTTGAGTGACTTCCGTGGCCCGAAAGAGCCAGGAAATAAGAGGCTGGCCTTTCAAGGCGCCATGCCTGTGGATCACCATAGGTTGGAGCGAAACAGCGACACAGACAGGCGTCATGGAGAGCTCGACGGACTCAAGCATTGTTGAGTTCCTTGGGGGTAGTTGGGCATGAGGAAATGCAAGCTTCACAGCTCGCACTTTCCGTAGCTCCTGAGCAAACCCTAGCTCTCCCTCTGCAAGGACCCCTTGAGACCCCAGGTAGATTCTAGGGCTCACTTGGGCTCCCGCGCTTCCGGTTTTGGGGGCGACTAGGCCAAACGGCGGAATTGTTTTGTGCGCAAGTCACAGCGCTGCCGAAAATTCAGCGAGAATGAAGACCCAGGGCCAAGGGAAGCCTGGGGAATGGAAATTCACAGGGAAGCTTGGGGAGGCGAGAGCGCGGAAGCTTAGGCTAAGGGGAGCCTAAGGAAAGCTAGGGGAAGCCTCCGGAATACGAATTAGACGGCACAGCGAGAAAAGAACTTGCTGGTGTGATAGGTAAGGAATGTGGGAATGAAACCCAGCCTGGGGTTCCTTTAAAGGAAACCATAGGGGATGGTTTATAGGGGTCATTCTCTCATTCCCTGCTGAGCACCAGCAAGAAAACAACATGTCAAGTCCGCAAACACCTTTCTTGCTCTGCCCTGGAAGAAGCGAATGGGAGGCCAAAGGCACTCAAAGGCACTCAAACATGGTCGGCAGGCTGTTGGCAGGCTGCGACTGCTGATTTCGAACCGTGCCGTGTTGCCACCCTACACCCCCCTTAAGAACTCTCAAGTATGCAAACACGGGCTTCCCCGAACACCACCAGAGAGGCAAGCCCACAAAACACAAGGCTCAGCGAAGCGAGAAGAATTTGCAAGTGTACTGCATGACTGTGTGGCATGACGGACATGCGGCCATAGGAGCAAACTTGCTCTCTGGGAGCAGGGTTCGGGGGAAGACAATGGGAAGTCAAGGAGATGGGAAGGTTAGCCTGTTCGAAATCCATTGGGGCGTAATCACAATCCATAATCCGCCCCATCAGCCCACAAATCCAATGAGCTCTCGCATTGGTACTGTTTGGTCCACATTTGCATCCATTCTTCACATACGCTCATATTTTGCCCTTCCTTTGCCTCCCTTCCTTGTTGTTTCCCTTTCCTTTCCTAGTTTGCACAACACCTATATACTGCCCAATCATTAGCGGATTGCGGATTATGCGGTGTACATATTGAGACTATGCGCTTTACGGGTTACGCATGGGTGTTCAATGCTCCATAAAATTGTTTTGAGTCGCACATTGCAGCGCGATGACTTGATTAAGAAGATTCCCGTGCAGAACAAGCAACTGCCATATGTTTGGCGCGTGCCATTGAAGCGGTTTGTGACAAGCTCATCTCACGCTCTGCCAAACCCGGAAATGGCGGGACATGGGAACCTCTTGGACGGTGTTGATCGGAAAACATAGAAACCAACCATTTGCCCGGGGGGGGTTTCCCCTTTTGGTCAACACCAGAAAGAATTCCTGCAAGGGCCAGTGTAGAACCTGGAATTTCCCAAGTGTCAGCCGCGAATTCTCCCATTTTTGGAAATCTTCACCACTTCGCGGCTTTCTGGTTCTTTCACCGGCTCCATCAAAACCCCCCACTCCCAGCCTCCAGCGGAGCCGCGCACGGGCGGCATGGGCGGCGCGGACATGGGCCGGCCGGACGGCTCCGAGCGCCGGTCCAACCGCTCCAGGCGCTCCGCGCGGGGCTTGCCGTCGCGCTCGGAGAAGTTGAAGCCCATCTGATCCGGCGCTCGGGCAAAAGGGCCAAAGGGTTCAGGGGAAGTAGCCACGGAAAACCTGGGCCCCATCTGATGGAGGGACCATTCAGGTGTGCTTGCATGAGCGCCCCATGGGTATATCTTCAGTTCGGTGCCCTGGGCCTTGAGGGCGGTCAAAGCAAACCACATGCCAGAAGGTCGCCCGATTGCCGCTAGGCACAACATGCAGCAAGAAATTCGGCAGAATTTGTTGCTGATTCCTTGTGTTTGTCGCCGCCCCTTCGCGTCCCAATCCGCGTTGTAAGCAATGGCGACTCCTTTCGCAGTCCCACGATGCATGCAGAGTAAGCCAGCGGAACAGGGTGCAAACAGTCTGTCGGCGCCAATGTGCATGTGCTTGTGTGGGGAAAAGCTATGCAATTGATTACATCAACCCTTCAGGACCAAGCCCTTTTTGGGCCAAGTCAAAACGAGCTTCCTTTGCGTGGGGTGACGCATTTGCAAAGGAACGCCAGCCAAGCACTTGGAGCTTGCGGGTGCACCCTCCAGAGCTCAATTAGACGGGCCGCAAACATGCCCCCATTTTACCCACCAACTTTCCTGTCAGAATGGTTTATGTGTATGTACATATAATTGAATCGTGGAGTACACCATCTACCGATCACATTGATGGGGCTCAACCAATAAGATGAGGCTTTCACAGCAATATGTGCAAGGCCTCCCGATCTTTTGGGAGACCTCAAAAATTGGTGTTTTGAGGGGCGGGGGTCAGGTCTCCCCGATTCCCACTCCGGCTCAGAGCAGCCATGAACCTAAAACCCGCTGAGTTTGCCAGGGTCAGAACCGCCATGGTCATGCTTACATTGGTCTATCCCCGAAGAGGCAACTGACCCCCCAATTGCACAGGGGGACCATAGGACCATAGGGCTGTCCCATAATTAGGACACAGGCTTTGGTGTTCAAGCGGCAACCCAACATGATACATTTTTTACAAATGCATTCATGGCGTCACTGCCGCCACCAGTCAAATTCCAGCACAACCACCCACCAAAACCACTCCCACAGAGTGCCTCGCCTCAATACCCTTGAGCTGATCGTTCTCCATGTCCTGGCAATGAGGCGTGCGCCTGTGAACTGTCATGGGGAAATCAGGTCCGCTCGAGATGCCGAGATTCTTTGCAAACACCTAGGTCAACGATCGTATACCATAGGGTTAGGGCAAGGACATGGTGCAGCAGCGCCGGAACTGGTGGCTTTGGAGGCTTAGCTGCCAACCCAACACAGGGCTCTACGACTAAATTGGCAAAGGGTCAGGCCTGTTGACCACTTCTCACATGGCCGGATTCAGCATCCTGTGGCTTCCGCCTTGCAATTCGACAACTTGTTGTCCTGCAAAGGATTCCATCTGTCTTGATGCTCTAGCAGGAGTTGGGATGTCACAAATGGTTCCTCTCTTCGAGGTAGTTCCGTAATAAAACTCATAGCCATATTACGATTAAACTTATATGGCTTCAACTTAAGCATACCTGTACCATTGGTCTACTAGGCTTTCCGCGGATGGGACCCACCCAACTCTCGGTTTGATGTTGAGTAGGTTTTAACATAACAACAGATCCTGCAATTGATGTTGGGGACCGGACATGATTTTGGCAGATTGGTAGTTTAGAGGTTTGGGGGAGCGTGTATGTCTCACTTGGTTCTGCAAACAAGGGTCGCATGACCAAAACACCGAGCCAAACCACCAACCAAGGGCCGCATCCTAAAAAGCATCCATAACATACCTTTTCGGGCACGTTGGGGCGCATGTGAAAGAAATCCTCATCATAGAACGGCGGCGCTCAAATGGAGGCTTGTTGGATATGGCTTTGCAAAGCAGCACCTCAAGACTCCCAAGCGGCTTTGCGTGTCCAATGTTGCGTGTTGGTTTCAGGCATCACTTCAAGAATGATGTTCCTCGCGGAGCTATGCCCAGTCTCCGTGTTTTCGTTTCGTTGCCCAAGCAGCTGACCCGATATTATCCCAACATTCCCCTTAGGGTCATAAAAATCAGCAACAAACATGTTATGTCCAACTTGTTGGGTCCCTTCAGAAGGCTAGGAGTCCCTGCCCGAAACTTCCTTGGTTGAAATTGGTTTGACCCACAGCTTTACTTTGGAAATCGCTCTCGCCATGTTCCCTGAAAGGCCCAGCGCCCTTTCAGCTTTTGACCTTTTTGGTTTTCCCCACGTTTGTTCCCCAAGGTTTGAACAGGTTGACATTTAGGTTTCAAAGGGGCAAGCAGGAATTTCAATCCTGTGGGTCAAACAGAAGCTTCCTGAGCTGGAAAATACTTAGGCGTCACTTGCGTGCGTATGTGTGTGTGTATCTGTGTGTGTGTGCGTGTCTGTGTGTGGGTCTCTGTGTGTGTCGCTCTGTGGGTGCCTTTTCACCGGGGGTACGGGGGTTGGAACAAGTCTGGACCAGAAGTGTTTATTTCCTCACCTCAAAAAAAGCAAATTGCTTTCCACTAATATATGGTCCCAAACAGTAGGATATTCTCCAAGCGGAGCTACGGAAGTTTATGTTATTCTCCTGGTGGTGTGCCAAACTTCGCCCAGCTACAGCATCTTCCCTCGAATTTCGGGTTGCCCAGGGTACAACATTGGCTCCTGAAAGGGAAACTGCGGAAGCCGTTTGGCCTTTATCTGAAGGCTCGAAACCCTGAACGACTTGTTCGCACCTGCATCTCTGGCGGCAGCGCAGCCTTCGGGAAGAAGACATCCTGAGGAAGTCTTCCATGCCCAGCGCATGAAGAAAAAGGCTCTGCCATACCTTCCCCACAAGGAAATCTGTATATGACTCTCTATATATGTATAGATTCATGAGGCAAGGTCCGGGTCGGAATTACTTACTTATGTACGCTTGGTGAACGGAAGGGAAAGGAAGAAGAGAAAGGATGAAGGGAAGAAGGATGGAAGAAAGGGGGACGAAGAAAGTAAGGGAGCAAGAGCTCAAGGGAGAAGCAAGGAAGCAAGGGAGGTGGCAAGGGAGAAAGGGAGCAAGAAGCAAAGGAGCAAAGGAGCAAGCAGGAAGAGAAGGGAGAAGGGAGGAAGGCAGGGAGGAAGAGAGGAAGAGAGGAAGGCAGGAAGGAAGGAAGGAAGGAAGGAAGGAAGGAAGGAAGGAAGGAAGGAGGAAAGAGAGAAACGGGTCCAGCACTAAGCAACAGCCGCTCCCACAGACGCTGCGCGTTCCCACAAGCCTCATGGCATATGACGCTGGAACTGGCCTTGGAAATGGGCCACCTCCAAAGATGCGGTTGGGAAGTGGAGATGTGGTGGGCAAGCGGTGGCCGGCAATTTTTGTTTTCGCGTTTTCCTTGGTGTTGTGCAGTTGTCAGCTATGACCACCCTTCACAGCTCTTCAGCCAGCTTGCCATCAAGAAACGCGCCGGAAAACTCTCTCTACAAATTGCGCGCTGACGCGCTACCGTCACATGACATTGGCCCAGCCCGTGCACAGTGCGTTTACCACATTTGCACAGAACCACGAGAACAGCGCGCACTGCAAATAGCTTTCGGCACGCCTCCCATCTCGGAGCGCCCTGCGCAGACAAAATCCGCCTCCACCATTGTTGGTCGCTGTTGAGGACCAAGACAGAGCCGCAAGCGAGTCACAAAAGTTCAAAATAGTAACTTGTCTTGGGACATTAACGACAAGGGGAACCACTGAAGACTAGGGCTCGACTTTGGCAGGAGTCACTCCACTTGGCATGCCCCTTGCGCCCAAAGCAAAAGTAACCTGTCTAAGCCAAGTGCCTTGTTCAAATAACATATTGGAGCCCTACCTCATTCCAACAGGCAAACGGGTTGTTCCAAAGAATTGTGTCCAACCCTGCACACAAACAGAACACATGCATGGGCAAAGGTAAGTGATTCCAGGGGTATCGTTTCTTGTGAGTCCCGTATCGTTTGCCGTGGAACATTTGCATGTCCACATCGCTGAAGCGCCGAGGACGAAACTCGCTGGTAGTTATCAGGGGCCGTTTTCGAGAGGAAGGGGGCCGGCCCCGGTACCTTCTTAGGTGCTTGGACAACCATTCTCGGTGCCCACTTGATTTCAACAAAACCATACAGCGGATGCCCTGAATACAGCAAGTAAATCAACGACAAACCATGGGAACTTCCTCTAAATTTCCCTTGTTCCCTTGCAATGTTTAGGGCATCCACAGAAACACCCTACTTTTGTTGCTACAGGCTGTGTGGCTTCGCGCTCGTCACTCCTTCGAAGCCACGTTGGACTTGAGAAACCTCGGCGTCCCAATTCCCTTCGTCGCAAACATGTCACGCATTGACCGCCTTCTCGGAGCGAGCTACCGGAAGGTCAAAGTATTGGCGTCGTGTGTTTCTTCCGAAAGTGAGGTGAGCTACAACAGGACACCCTCAGTTCATCAACGATTCCTAAGTTCAACAATTTATGGCAGTGGGTCAAAACCCTGGTACCCCCCCCCCACCCCCGAGATTCCCTTTCAAACCCAAAAACGGGTATCTGGGCTTTGACCCACACCCATATCCTGTGGCATTCATTCTTGTGAAGCCTCCTGAAGCCCATCTCTCAGGAGAAAAGACGTGGCTGGTCCTCGTCACCATTGGTTTGAAGCACGAAAAACAACCAGCACCCTCCAAGGCTTGTCAATTGGTGCCCAAAATGGCTCACACACGGGCACACTCGGTACAAATGGGCCACCCTTGAAGGGTGCTGGAACCTGCACTCAAACTCCAGTCCGCGAATAGCTTCGCTCATTTTGCGCGGGGAATTGCAATCTGTGTTTGTGTTGCGGGCGAACAGATTGGACATGGCAACATGTTGAGACAATTGAATGAAACCCTCAGGCCTACTCGTTAGCCTTACTCCAAAGACCTGGGTTTTCTATGGTTGTCTTGGGTATGTTCTGAAAGACTGCTTTTTCAACAAGGAACGAATGATTAATCCGACTATATACTGCATCTGAGGATTTGAACAAGTGCAATTTGCCGCTCATTCAGCCTTGCCCGCTTGGAAAGACTGTAGAATGTAGAATGTGTTTGACATGGTGTGCCGTGGGAAACAGCACTTTCCATATGCGGAATATGTCCTGGGCATTGATCATGCAAATGGGTGTGTGTGTGTATATGTCAACACAGAGGAACCCCTGAATGGTGGGCGGTTACTTTTGGTTTACCTTGAAACCAAGCTACAGCAAAAAAACCTGGCAGTGCAACTGCGCTGCTGGATCTGAGTCTCAGCACGTTGCCCGAATAGGTCAGACTTGTGACGGCAAGCTCTTCACGTTGAACTGCCCGGTCCTAGCAAATGTCCCTCATCAATATCTATGTTTCTCTGGCTGCATGTTGGAGATCCCGCTTTGTATAGGTGTGCCACTACTTTCCTTGGGAAACATGAGTACATACCTGGAGAAGATGGCTACAAGAGTCCTGGAGAGTCAGTCAGCCGAAACCGAGTAGGATTCTATCAAAAGCCAACCCAATGGCGCGACAAAACCCTACTCCGACTTGCTTCTACCCCGAACAGAAGTTGCTCCGACGTCCGGAATCTGGGTCTGATTTTTTTTTAATTAGGGACCCTTTGGACCTCATTTTGGTGATTCAGAAGTCCACCCACCCACCCACCACCCAAGTCCACCCACCACGTAGGTGGTTCCCACTCACATTCACGGCCCTAACTCTGAGTGCTGGGCCCGTAGCCCTTCTGCGGGTAGTAGTTCACGATGGTGCCCACCGCAGGCTGCCCAGGCTGCGCAGACTGGCGGGCCAAAGAGGTTTGGAACAGTACAAAACCCTCTAAGGAACAGGATATAGTGGCCCTGGTGTTTTTTTTTTTTTACAATCATGAAAGTGGACAGGAGGATTTGGAAGATCAGAGTCATCTCGAAAAGGCCCTTGTCCAACTCCTTTGCCAACTGAGGCGTATAAGAGTATGTGATTGATGAAACTCCACACTGAGATCACCCACCTGCCAATTGGCGACCCTGGAATTTGCCCATCAGGTCCAATCGATTCTTGGCTTGCCCGCAGGTGTGGCCCCACCTGGCCATAGCTCTCGTTGCGCGCTCGCTTGGCTCGCCTCGTACCCCCAAATTTGAAAAGCGAGGCGTTGCACTTGGTTTGGTCGGCCAAGTGAAGTAGTGAGCAATCTAGGTTATGACCCGCCAAGTCCCCCAAGCAAGCTTAGCCCGATTGCAAGTAGGCGATAAAATAAGTTAGTAGCGTCTTACTTACAGGGCCGAACACCCGCATCTCTTGGGCAAGCCCATGTTTCTTGAAAGATGTCCTAGCTTCAGGTCGATGCATATCATTCCTGTCTGTGCTGTCCCATCTGCAAACTTAAGCACTCTACTCGTAATTTAGAATAGGCGTTCTAATAATACTCCATCAGAATAAAACGATCCTCAATATATAATTAACAATTCATCGAGAAATGCTTAGAAAACTTTCCAAGCCTTGGTATGGTGGTGGTAACGTGCTTTGGAGTCAGGTGCCTTGACCATGTTTTTTTTAAAGGAGAAGGAGCTTCGCAAGTGGTCTTCTAAGGAACTTCACAAGCAGTTTTAGCGCCCTGTAAGGAGCTTTCTCGGGAGCTTCATGCGAAGCCTTGTAAGGAGCTCTTTTGAAGTCTTATGAGGCTTGAGTCAACAATGTAAAGCCAACGATATAATTAAACTCTGTCCTTGTTGATTTCTGTTGCGCTTTCTTGTATCATATCGTATATCTGCTTAATCAAAGCCCCATGCGGCAAGGAATCCTCTTTTTTAAGCGTAATTTAGACTGAGGTCGCTGACTGCGCTGGCAAAAGTGTCCAGCAAAAGAGATCAATGCATATCAGAGGCAGCGGGTGTATGTATGGTCACAGCTTCAAAATAAACATAAGTGAGTAGTTCTCAACGTAAAACAGCCAACAATTTGATGGACAATGCCCAGAAACCCTGTTTTATTGGTGTTCCGTGCGTGTTGGAAGGACAAACCCAACAGAGCAGAGTGTTTTGGTTCTTGGGACTGATAATGCAAGAAAAGACAGAGGGAACCCCAAGAAACAAAAAACAACGACTCGACAAGCCGAAAAACCAACTTTGAGGGATAATCTTTGGGCTTAGACCCAAAAACTTGCTTTGCTGGCTTCTCGAGTCGTTTTCGTTGCGCGTTTCTGTGTTCTCGCATTTGTCTGGTTTCTTGGCATTGTTCGGTAAAACAACTGAAGGTTGTTTCACCTTGTGTCGGCCTTTTGGACACCTGGCCATCTAAAGACCAGAACGCACAAGTGGTTGGTCGGTTTTTGTTGTGATGTCAAAATACTTTGGGAAACTGAACAACAAACAAAAATACATCTGGATAAACACAAAACAAAAAAACTGGATAAACACAAACAAATGTATGGAGCTGAAACCAAAGATTCTCCCTCAAGCTGGATAAACACAAAAAAGAAAAGAAAAAAGTTTGGAGCTGAAACCAACGATTCTCCCTCAGAGATTGCTCTGATTCTTGTTCTTGCATGGTGTACTTTGAAATGAGCAATGTGAACCATGTGATGTGAACTTGTAACTTGTATGCATGCGGAAGAGGCAAATCTAGCTTGCATATGGTTATATTGTCGCACATGTGGAAACACACGGTAGCATGACTGTGCTTGTTCAATACTTTGCAGCGTAGTTATAAACACACATGTTTTCTCAGCATGCCCAACTCAACGTGGAATGCCCTCCGAGACCAGAATCCAGTCAGAGGGTTTTGCACATGTGCTTCATGATTCTGCATCTTATACAGTAGTCTACACTCAAATAAAAACCGATACCAGGCAGTCTGGCATGTGTGTACTGCCAATACACCAGAACTATTTGAAAGGACTGCAAAAGGCAACTGGTGGATCATGAGGGAGTGACAATACAGTGACTACAATACAGTGACTACAATACAGTGACTACTATATTCCTTTGTCTCGAAACGGCCATTCTTCGCGAATAAAAAAGTTACTTTCGCGAATCTTTCGCGGATTCATCGCCATGCCCTTTTCCTTGCTCAAGTCAGAAAATCGCTGATTTTAAGTGCCAGCGTAGTGCGCGAAATTCGATTCCCCAACTCCCGCTGTAAAGTCGCAACTTTCATCACAGGGGTAGTGCATGACATGCACGGGCTGGAAAGACGCAGCTTTTCGTAAGCCGTGCAGCTCCAGCTTAAAGTCGCAACTTTCCAGTACCAAGCTGGTATACTGACAAGCGCGGCGCTCAGAAAGTACCTCCCCTTACAATCGAAGCCGCTTTCGCAGGGGCTTTCGCGGATCTTTCACGGAACTTTCGCGAAAAACCACCCACGTTTCAGAGCGGAAAGGCGCCGAGTAAACACCCACAGGCACACATACACAGGCTTGGGGCACCAACCAGCCAAGCAGGGTATCAAACTGTAGCCTCACCAGGCTTTTTCGGCGCAAAATCAACAAAGTGTTGTAATCAGCGCAGAAGGAAGGCTCAGCAGCAAAGATGAATGGTTTCACATATCATTGATTTACAGTTACGCAAAACTTTCGCGAGAAGAAAAGTTACTTTCGCAACTCCATCGCGAATCTTTCGCGGAGCTACCTCAACCAACACCGATGGTCACCGAATACTAAACTCCTTACAAGGACCTTTAGAACGACTCCCATGTATATATATATATAGATATATTCAGTGACTAATACCAGGGCCTTTGGTGGTTCCTCCATGACTTGGGACGTCTAGAGCCCTGATTGAGGCCCCGCGCCCCTCGTCGGGGGGCCTGTCACGCTTCATCCTGCCAAGTCGACAGCTCCAAAAGCTGAGAAACTGCCAAGAGCTCACATCCAACCGGAAGACTTGGTTGACGTTGGAAGGGGCGCAAAAGTTCAAAGTTTAGCAGTTAAGTGGTTGGATTTCCCCACTAAACCACAATAAGCAAAAACGTAAAATGTGTCCCAACATCCAACCTGAAGATGTCCCTCGTGCAATGTGATCCGATGTCCTCCAGCAGTTGCAATGCAGCTTGATCCCCTGTTCCTCAAGGAACTGACTCTGACTATATGCAAAGGGAATCAATGGTTGTTTTGTTTTTTCCAGCGCTTGATCCCCTTTTCCTGAAGTTGAAGTGACCACTCTGACTAGCGGAATCTGCCGGGCCAGAAGCAACTTACACAGGCCAGCATGGAATATGTATAATTACAGAGCCTCTTGGCAAAGGGAAAACACTCCGCCGTTTTCTTGCAGAAGCGATCAGGATGTATCAAAGCAAAGTGGCCATAATTATGTTGCATCAATGCACGTAGAGTTCAGCTAGTTGTAATGAGGGATACCTTGCCGAGGTTGTAACATCAGAGGGCGCAAAGCACAGAAGTCATAAATTGAGCTAGTGGCCGGCGCGCTTGTACGACTGCGGTCATTGATTTGTGCACCCTTTGCCCACCCAAAACAAATGATGGCTAAGGACTGAAACACTTGCTGCCGGATGCAAAAAAGGTGAGTTTCAAACAGCAACCCTCCAGCTAGGGGTGGAAGTGCGAGACACACATGAATGCAAGAGCTGCCGCCGCTTCCAGACTCTTGGTGGGTGCAAACTTAAAGACCCAAGAACCATAACAAAGGCATTGAGTTCTGCCACTACTAGCTTCTTTCAGTGGGAGACAATGCATCTTGTTGCTATAACCAGGTTGCTCATGAAGTTAGTTCTGAGGGTTGTTTTGCACTTTTCAGGGTGACCAGAATGTCACCTAGAACTGGGAATCTAATCGCAACATGAGCTTAGCTGTCCCAAAATAAAGTCTTTTTTTCTCCTTGGGGGGGGCAGGGGTTTAGGGGGGGTGGCTGGCCAGACTTTTGGTCTTCTCGGGGCGGGCCGCAGGCCGCAGGATGAGATTTCGGTGGTGCAGCCCAAACCAATGCCACATGTTTGCTTGGCCGAAAGGCCTAAGGCATAAGAACAAACTGAAGGCAGAGCAAGCTCACCACAGCTCTTCAAGTCACAACCCATTTCAGATTTCAGTTGGTGGCACATGAAAGGCCCCGATCCTTTGAGGGCGCACCAAAGGAAGTTGTGTCCGCCGTCCGATCAGGTTACTACAACTCGGTGCGGGTTGATTCCCCATTCTTTTCAAGCATCGTTCTTTTCAAAAGCCGGCTGCTTCCCCTGGGTTTTTGATGGTTTCCTGAACAGAAGGATCCCAGGAAAGAATGGAAATGGAAGGTACCCCTCGAAAGGGCTGACACATCGCGCGCCTGGCCTCCCAAATGGCCCAAGTTGGCTGGTGGCAAGGCGACTGTGGCTGACTTGTGTGGCTCCTACATCGATGAATGCGATGGATGTGATTTCAATGAAACAGCTGATTCCTTGCGCTATGTTTAGCCGCACTTTGGATCTTCATAAACACAATTGGGCTTTAGCCGCCATGAACACTGTCCATCTATGGGAGACAAATTCTCCGCGGTGGGCGGGCGACACCTCAATCTACCGAACAAGCTAAAGGTCAACAAAAGGTGAACATCATTGTATTGTTAGTACATCATTGGAACTCAAAATGTGTGGGGTCAAAGTAGTCTCGAAGTATGCAGATTCAATCCCCATTGTTGAAACTATCATGAACAACATCAAACAGAGTGTGTTTCAACAAACAACACCAACATGTGGGTACATTTCGTTGCATCCTAGGGGACTATATCTACTGGTTGCTTTTTGCTAGGCGTTCTTTTGTGTTTATCACCACGCAGCCAAGGGGCTCCGAACTGCTTTGCTGTGTGTCCAGTTGTCAGGCCGCTTTCCGCACACCACAAGAGCCCAGCTGCGGATGAGGTGCATCACAATCCCATCAAGCTTGAGATCCTTCACATGGCCATGGGTCAAAATCCAAATCGTACCCCCAGTGAACATCCCAATCCCCACAAAACAAAAAGAGACTAAAATGGGTGGTGCACCTAGCCCAAAATGGTACCAGTGGTTTTGACCCACAGCCACATGAGTGACACGGTGACCGCTCTGAACGCCTCACAGAATGAGACCAGAACAGATTGGTGTGTCACAATTGAACAAGAAATCACAGGCATGCCCCCTGAACACAACCAAAGCTTGCTAGTTGGAGCTGCGGATGGGGGTTGAGGATGATTGGGCTGCTTGAAATGGGGCCAATCCAAAAGTCCATCCCTATTGAAAGATCACCCACATGGGACATCTGTCGCAAGAGAAGTATTCTGGATTGCCCGTGAGAAGCCAAGACTGATTGTTTGTTTTGCGGCCCAGAACCTGTATGACAGACTGGCAACAGATCTACCTTGAAATATTCACGTTCGAGGAGGCACCTGCTGCGCCAAAATGGAGGGACAATTGATCTGGGCCAGGTCAAAGAATTCATTCAAATAAATGCAGAGATGGCTGCCACACACACACACACGCAAACAAACAAACAAACAAACAAACAAACAAACAAATATTGTGGCACTACACCTCACTTTGACAAAATGACAACACAAGGCAGGTTGTCGTATGCTCCCCTTTCTATTGATCGTACTTGGAGTCGGGGCCATCTCAAGGTGAAAGCTGATCGAGCTACTGGCCTGGCTTGGGTCCAACTTTCAGTGCCCCTGTTATCTCAGTAACTCAGCTATAGAAACACCCTAAGGAAACGCGAATCCCGTTATCCCCCCCGAGTCCGCCCAACGAAATGCGTAAATATCAATCTTCCCGCAAATGCTTTGGCAACAATTCGAGGATGCCCTTCTGGTCTGTTGCAGTTTCCTGAGTACCTGGCGCCATCGTTGCCATCCTCAAAGTCACACCCTTAGAAACCAGAAACGAGACAAGCCTCAGATGCAGTCAAATCAACTACCCCGCAAGCAAAGAAACCCGACCAACGGGTTTCAGGGCTTTAAACGGCCAGATACGCTCTTTGGCACTCCGATCGCTTCCGAAGGCTGGCCGCAGCGAAAGCTAGTCGGCACGGCCTGGCGCAGAAAAGCGGAAGAACCAATGCCAGTGAATCCATTTGCCGCCAGAGCAACCAGGAAGCCTTCTTGAAAAACCAGGAGAATACCAGGTTGCCTACATGTTCTTGCTGTGGTAAATGGAACTGCTCACTGCTGGCAGATGGTGGGACCATCTGCCATGGGCGTGTTGGAAAAGGAAGTCTGTAGGCTTGCTTGAACTGCAGTTACTTCTACCTACAATGCCGAAAGTCCTAGGGAGGAATGCACATGACCAAGACAAATACTGGTACTTACCCCTTGTCACTCTTGGCTTCTCCAAAAAACAAAAAAACTGAAGGCGGGTATTTGGAGTCGCCCTCGCCTCCACCCAAATCCCGCCTGGCGGACGAGGAAAAGCTCGGAACTCACCGGAGCGGCCGGCGTCGGAGCCTGTGGCTGACAAATGGTGCAAAGCTCAGGTCCAGGTGGAGGTACTTCCTTGGGGATCTGGCTGGACGGAGACCGGCAAGCTGGCCATATTGGAGAGAGACACGCGGGTACTAAGAACCTGCTACACTCCGATGCAGCCACTATAGGCGATCAATTCTAATTCGCGTCTGTTCTTAGCATTCGGCGGTGGCTTTGTCATGCAACATCGGGGTCGCCTGGGCAACACATACCCCATTATACTCTAGTCCGGCCATTGCCAAGGCAGTGGCCACGCAAGTCATGTCAATCTCCTGGCAGGGTGTATGACAAAACAAAGCGAATACTTCATGCAAACAAAGCATGAACAACCTCTGCCTGCACCCATTCCCCGACCTCAAAGTCAAGGTGCTTGCTTGTTTTGATCGACTAGCTCAGGTCGCAGGAGCACTCACTGCCCAGCTTGTTTTGGTGTTATCAAAGCTGGAGACCCCTTTCGGCCACGCCCATTTTGCAGGGAAAGCGACGTGAAGCCAACCCTCTCCCTGTCATCCAGGCATGTCCTTTCAGATGTTGAAGGGTGCCCCTGGTTATCTAAGATTGCAGATCAATGGAATCATTGGGTCTACTTTTGACACATGTCCCTACTCAGCCCGCCTGAATTCCACTACTTCCTCAGGCTCATCCGGGCGATTGCCTCCCGGCACCTGCGTCGCATGGAGTGGCAAAACCGAGAGGGAGTTCTCAGAATTCCAGGGCTCTCCGATCTTCGGGTAGTTGGCTTCCCTTTGCTCTTCCCTTTCACCACTATCGCCAAAGGCAGTTGCCACAAACTGGCCTCTGAATTCCGGGCGGATCCGACCTTCCGCCCTCAAGTTTTGGTTGAGATGCTTACACTCCCAGCCAAAGACGCGATGTTCGCCCTCAGAACCGGGTCCCCCAGGAGCGTCCCCAGCAGTCGCGCAAAGGTTCACCTTGCCATGGGTGTCCCTATGCCACCTGCACAAGCAACAAGTCCTTGAAGGACACAACTCACTCGGCTTACCAAAACTCCAACCGAGTAACAAATGGCGACATCGTACCTGGGCGGCCTACGTGAAATCTTGAGGGCATTTGTGCGGAACATCAAATCCTGGTTCAGTGATCCGGTCCATGCGCAAATGTAACCCCGATGAAAAATGGAACCCCCCACAAAGCTTCCTCCCTTCCCATAACACAGAGATGCTTTGGGCTCCATGTTGCATTGCAAAAGGCTACAGAAAAGGGATTCTCATTCCGTCACTGTCAAGAGAGTCCCTCTCAAAACAGGAGTCGCATTGGCACCCTGAGGCTTTTCGTTTCAAAGCATGTGTCAAAGCCAGAACTTCTTGTGGGTACAGCTCAAAAGGACACCTATGTGACACCGACCACTTTGAAGGGGCCAGCTACTTGCCACACATGCCCTCGGACAACCAACACACGTCTCTTCATTAATATGGTCATATTTATATGTCACTGCAAGTGTTGATCCTTCCAAGCTTTTGGAAACTTGTTGGAACCAAAACGAACGACACCGCCAATCGGATCGACTCCAGGGAAATCTCCGCTCTACCTAGCAAAGAGGATTGGGCGGATTCGCATCATTTCCTGGGGCTCTTTTGCCTCGTTTCTTACCCCAAGGGTTTCAAGTGCCCGTTCATGGCTTTTGAGCGCAAAAGGAAAACCGGGGGGTTGGGGGGGTGTCCAAGTGATGCCTCCAGTTGACCTTTTGAGTGTCAGGGCAAGGTCTCAGCCTCGCAAACGCTCAGGTACCAAGGGACCTTTAGAAAGCCAAGTGACCGTGAAGCCACGCAGGGTAGCGCCTTTCAAGGACATACCAAACAGGACAAGCCACCCAAAACACCAAGGGCAAGGTATCTACCCACCAAAACTCCCTAAAGACTTAAAAGGAAATCCAGTGAAAACCAGGGAAATCCAGTGACCCCTGTTATTTCTCACCAAACCGGCTTACCAACAAAAGGAACGCCATAGCAGGGATCGACACATGGCCGTCCGTTGCTACTGGCCGCCGCCGCTTCCGGATCGAACATGGCTGGTCAAAACCAATGGCATACCATTTTGGGGCTTTTCGGTGAATTCGTCACCCATTTTAGAACCTAATTTAGCGGTTGGATGGGGTCCCATTCACTCAACCGATTTGGATGAAAAGCTTATGGCATCGACTGGCCTTCTCCAAGGCCTTGAGCTCTTGGAGCTTCTTGGCCGCCTTCTTCTTCTTCCTGGAAGCGGACGAGTCGCGTGGCTTGGACATCCACCGATTTGTCTCTCTCTCAGAGAGGGCTCGGTCCAGGGCCTTGGGTTTCTTTGAGTTGATTGTTTGATGCTTTTCTTGGGGGCTTTGAAGGAAAAAAGGACCTAAATAGCTCGATCGCATTTTGGATTCCAAACGGAACATGCGAAGCTTGAGACATGCGCCGAGCGTCAAGCCGAAAGTGAACTGGACCAACACGGGGTTCCCACGAGTTTAAAAGGCTGGCATATATAAAAACACCGGCAGGTTAGTAGATGCTGAAATACCAAAGCAACCGGGAACCCTGCAGTTTTAAGGGTGCCCGAAGTGCGAAAAAGAGCTAGCCCCCCCCCCCCAGTAAGTCATATTGATCCGTGATCCGGTGAGTCCCTTGCGCGAGGTGCACAACCCCTTTGGACTGTGATAACCCACTGGCAAAGCCAAATGAGCCCAATATAGGTTTCCTTTTGGTGTCGCTTTAACACAACCCTGATTTGGGGTACCCGCAAAATGAGGCATGCCCATAGGGGAAGAATCGTGGCACTGGGACCCCCGCAAGCGCTGTGAAGCTGCCAGAGTCTCCACTCTCCAGACTTACCCCTGCTTAAACGTGCTTTTGGCTGGTGGAAAGCGGAAAACCTGAAACAAAAACAATCAAAACAGCAAACAAACAATGCCAGGAGGT